CCAAAAATGAAGGGTCCAACCCCAAAAATCAGGGGGTCCTAGAGGTGGGTGAAGACTCGAACCCCAAAATTGAGGGGTCCAACCCCAAAATGAAGGGTCCAACCCCAAAAACAGGGAAACCTGGAGGTGGGTGAAGGCTCCAACCCCCAAAATGAAGGATCCAGCCCAAAAATGAAGGGTCCAACCCCCAAAATGAAGGTTTGACCCCAAAAATGAAGGATCCTGGAGACGCACAAAGGCTCCAACCCCAAAATCGAGAGGTCTGACCCCAAAACCGTGGCGCCCCCCCGGTGTGTCCCCCCCCAAACAGAGCCCAGAGCCGGTGAGGGGGGTTTTGCGTTATTTTATTCATTTTTGGGGTGAAAAGGGCCGAGTTTGGGTCCGTCGCTGATGATGGAAGACGAAGGTCTTCACCCTTCCAAGGCCCGTCGTTCCGCGCGTCTCCGCAGCCGCTCCAGGACCCGCCGGGCCGTGGGTTCCAGGCTGTGCTGAAGGGGGGGGAGGAGATTTTGGGGATAAAAAGGAGCTTTTTGGGCAAGAAGGAGGGGGGGAGGATGGTTTTTCGGGGCGCCACCTGCAGGACGTGGAGGCCCTTGAGGCAGACGCCGGCCAACTCGCGCAGCCCGTCGGCCGTGAGGTCGGCGTAGAGCAGGGAGAGCAGGGGGCTGGGGAAACGGCGCCGCCAGCAGGCGGAATTCCCCGGGGAGGTGGGATTTGGAACCCCAAAATGGAGGGCTCTAACCCCAAAATCGGGGAAACCTGGGGGTTGGTGAAGGCTCCTGCCCCAAAAACGAAGGGTCCAGCCCCAAAAACGAAGGATCCAGCCCCAAAAATGAAGGCTCCGGCCCCAAAAATGAAGGCTCCAGCCCCAAAAACGAAGGGTCCAACCCCAAAAACGAAGGGTCCAACCCCAAAAACGAAGGGTCCAACCCCAAAAACGAAGGGTCCAACCCCAAAAATGAAGGGTCCATCCCTCAAAATGAAGGTTCAACCCCAAAACCGTGGGGTCGAACCCAAAAAATGCAGGGTCTAACCCCAAAATCAGGGCATCCTGGAGGTGGATGAAGGCTCCAACCCCAAAAACGAAGGCTCCAACCCCAAAACTAAAGTGTCCAACCCCAAAAACGAAGGCTCTGACCCCAAAAATAAAGGGTCCAGGAGATGCACAAAGGTTCCAACCCCAAAAACGAAGGATCGAACCCCAAAAATGAAGGCTCCAGCCCCAAAAACAAAGGATCCAGCCCCAAAAACGAAGGATCCAGCCCCAAAAGCAGAGGATCCTGGAGGTGAGTGAAGGCTCCAACCCCAAAAACGAAGGCTCCAACCCCAAAATCAAGAGATCCAACCCCAAAAATGAAAGGTCCAACCCCAAAAACAGGGGATCCTGGAGGTGGGGGAAGGCTCCAGCCCCAAAAACGAAGGATCCAACCCCAAAAAATGAAAGATCCAACCCGAAAAACAAAGGATCCA